AGGGTCAGTTAGGACCTAGTCAGGGAACTTCTGGAGGGACTGGACGTATTTAAATCAGCAGGTCATCACGATCTCCACGCCAGAGTGCTGAGGGAATTAGCTGAGGTCATTGCAGGACCCCTGGCATGGCTTTACGAGCACTCGTGGTGCTCTGGTGTGGTGCTAGAGGACTGGAAAAGGGCCAATGTGGTTCTGTGGCAGGAGTGCCTCTTCCGGGTCTGTCCACTAGTGACCCCGCAACACCATTATGGGCCAACCGCCTGCCTTCTCTCTTGCCATGCCTTGTTGTTACTTGCTCAGTTAGAGGATATTAATCAAGCAGCAGGCTGCCCATTTTCTGTCTTGATGCCTGGGGCACTATCTGCAGCTCCCTTACACCACAGCCCAAGGCTCACAGATGTACCTGACGTTGTTCGGGTCTGTTCCACTCTCGCAACCTACACCCCACCGACGCTCAACTTGCCTCACAGCCTGTGCCTCACTGGTGCTCTGGCTTGTCTCTTGTAACCTGCGCCACACAGGCATTCTGGCTTGTCTCTCGCAACTGTGCCCCTCTGGCACTCATCAATTGCTGCCTCCTTGCCTTGGGGCTCCTCACGCTGCCCCCTCTCTGGGGCTTCCCACGCTGCGCCCTCTCTGGGGCTTCCCACGCTGCCCTGGGGCTCAGGTGGCCATAGCCTTACCTGGCCCCCAAATCTCCTCCTCAGGGTCTCAAACCCCTTCCGGGCTCAGGCAGCCTCAGCCTTACCTGACCTCTGATTCTTTGCTCCCCTTTTTGGGACTGGGGTCAATGTACCCCAAAATGCTGCACCCTCTCTGGTGCTGGGGTCCCCACGCTACTGTGGAGTCCCTATGAGGCCTCCTCCGACCCCTAATAGCCTCTCCAAGTCCTCCGGTTAAAACAACAAACACAAAAACACAAAGCCCCTGGGCTGTAACATAAAGCTAACCCGTCCAGCCAAACAACACTCAATTCCTACCAGGAAATACTCCAAACCCAGCAGCGCCCAGGGTATGCTCATGCAGTCAGGATTGTCCCCTCTGTCTGCACTGGCCGAACTCCTCCTTCCTTGGTTGCCAGAGGGGAACTGCCCTCCTGCCTGGGCTTATATGGGCCAGGCCCTGCCCCTTCCTGTCAGCTGGCTCCCCAGCGGTTGTCCTGGCAACCAGCACCTGTTACTCTGGCTGCCCTTGCAACTGGCAGCTGGACCTCCCCCATCTTGCCACTAAGGGTCTCTCCCAAGTTGTTTTCTGCTCTCAGGCACAGGGCACCTGAGTGCTCTGTGACAGGTTCCCATTTTCTAAAAAGGGAGGAAGGAGGACCCAGGAAACTATAGGCCAGTCAGTCTTACCTTGGTCCTGGGTAAGCTTTTTGAGAGAGTTATCCTGACACATGTCCGTGAGGGGCCAGCAGGGGAGATTATGCTTAGGGGCAACCAACA